CATTTTTGGATGCAACTTTTCACTCGAACAGTGGAAGGGAGGAAATTGAAATCCCTGTACATTCTTTTTCTTCTTGATCACTCTATAAGGTTTGGCACCATGTTTAACTGAATAAGACCTCATTGTATTAACCCCAGCTTCTTTCTTGACTTAGTATTGTCAGAGCCTCTTATCTTGCCATTCTTGATAGCCATTCGATGATTTCTCCACTTATGATGATGTCAGAGAAATTATTAGGGACAACCCCTATCATGTGATTATCATAAGGAAATTTTAATGTGCTGATGAACAAAGTAGTGAACTCTTTTTCAGTCAATGGTGGATGTACTTGAGAAGCAACGTCTTTCCATCGTTGTGAATATTGTCGAAAGCTTTCATTGCACTTCATATTCATGCTTTGCAACATTGTTCGATTAGGGGCCTTATCAGTCATGTGCTTGTATTGACCCAAAAAAGCTTGAGCTAAATCCCTCCAAGAACGTATTTGAGTACGTTTTAGCTGATTATACCATCTGGATGCAGACCCAGATAAACTGTCTTGAAAACAGTGGATCAACAATTTTTCATTCTCTACATAGCCAGTCATACGACGACAATACATAGTGATATGATATGAAGGGCATGTGGTCCCATTATACTTCTCAAAATCTGGAACCTTGAACTTTGGTGGAATAACCAGGCCAGGGACCAAACTTAGTTCTTTGGCATCAAACCCATAAAATGACTCAACTGTCTCTATAGATTTTATCAACTCTTTTATATTTTCCAGTAGTTGAGTGAATTTTTCCTTCTCAACTGATTTGTTTTGGTCAAGGACCTCATTACTAATACAAAATTCATCAGGCTTCAACTCAGAAGTAGTAGGACAATCAGTGGGGAACGATGCTCCAGCTTGATATGGTGAGTTCTTAACAGCGAAGTAAATCGGTGATTGAATTTCCTGGGGTATAGAGGTGAACTCAGGAATATGAACAGGTGTAACATCCAAAGAATTTCTGTGGTTTTCAACAAGACTCTTTCCAGCGGTCTGGTGCTTCTCAATTATTTCTTTCATATTGTTCAGTAGATCGATATGAGAATTTGTGATATTAGCTTCAATTTGTGCCAACTTGCTCCTTAATTCCTCTTGTATTTCTTTCTGCTCTATCTCAAATTTGGTTAGCCTATCCTCAGTTTCTTTAGACATTTTTCTTGTGTCGTGCTGAGCATTCTTGCTTCGAGGAAAACCAAGATCACTTCATTTGAAATCCTTATTTTAATGAATGTTTTAATGTATTATGACATAAAAAAATGCAAAGATGCCAAAGGCAAATGTAAATATGTGAATGTAATAATAAGAATACAAATTGTGCAATACAAAAGCAAACATAAAATTCAAATGCAAAGATGCCAAATGTAAATATGCAATTGTAAAAATGTAAATGTAAATTATTTAAAATATCAGAATAGGACATCCAGTTATATTAAGACTGCCCTTTTCTTTGATATTGAAAATAAATAAACATTATTATTTAATTAAATATGTTTTAATGCATGATGTAAATTTAAAATGTAAATGTAAATACAAACGTAAAAATGTACAAATGCAAAATACAAATGCATGTATGAAAAGGTGTTACTCAAGAGTGATCATCTTAGAACAGATTTCATTGAACGCAAAAGTTTCGGTACATCAAACAAAACTTTACATATAGGGATATTTTACTCCTAACTTTTCCAAAGCCTATTAGTTTCCATTCATGCTCAAAAATTTGAGTCTTCAGTCTGCTTCATCTCCTTGTAAAATCAGCTAAATCTATCATTTAAGAACCATATTGCTTGTCTGGACTGCAACTTCTTCTATGACATTCTCTTTCATCTTCTGTGTCACTTCTCGAAGTTGCTCATTTTCCCTTGTAAGAGATCCTTTCTGTCTAAGAAGTTCTTGAACAAGATTCATATATGTTGTAGTTCTTTTTCAGCTTGGTGACCCCTGTGATCCACTCTTCTGGGGTACTTCCTAAGCCAGTATTTTGAAAGGCTTGACTGATTTTCTGAAAATCTTCATGCATAGTTTTCATTTCTGTGTTCAATTTCTTGTTTTGGTCGTTCAAGTCCTTCAAATAACATGCTTGAGCTTCATAAAAATCTCCACTACTATGAATGTCCCGACTGATACTCTTACCATAGACTGCTTTTGGTATCAATATGGCAGAATCTTTATGGATTACTTTTGGTATTAATATAACCGGTCTCTGTGTGCAGAACTTCCCTCGATCCTCGTAGTTTCTTCAGGATGCCTTTCCTTGGCCGCATCATATTTTGTTTGATCATAAAACTTTTTGTCCATTTACGATTTCTTTCTAATATGATGAACAGTCTTTCAAGTAAACACCTTTTGGTTATGCCATGATCATGCAACAAAAGAAATCAATATGAACAGATTAGAGCAATGTAAAATGCATGAAAAAAATAAAAAAATAGAATAGTTATTACCAACTAATGGAAAAAAATCTATCTATCAAGGTATAAATCTTAACCTCATGCTTTCTAGTTCCATGCTTTGTTTGGAAAAAGTTAACCTAACCACATGATTTCTAGTTCGCATGCATTTATTCAGGAAAAAGAAAAGGAAATAAATTAAATTAAAAGCTAGAGCGTATTTCTCCTTTGTGTATACCTATGAACAGAGGTTCAGTATTGTCTTAGATCAGGTGAATTTCTAGGGTTTATTATATGCAGAGTTTCAGTTCTATGAGTAAAGGTACTCGAATTGTCCTTGTTGATGCCCTCTTGGGCTGTCAACCCTCAATCATAGTCCACTACAGACTTAAGCAGACCGAGTTCAATTCGAGGGGACACATTTCTCTATGCCTGACACGGAGAATAAATTCTCACGAAGACAAAAAGCATATGAACCCCGAAAGTTACTTGCTAGGTCTGACACGGAGAATAAATTCTCACGAAGACGTCGTTTTCACTCCCACTTAAAATGGACAAACTCAATTATAGAGCTTTATGTAATGCAAGTGTTGTGTGTGATGAGAAATGTTCAAACCTCTAATGGATAAATAAATAATGAAATAAAATGCTTGCAAATAAAATGAAATAATATATATAAATACTATAAAAATATATATAAAAAATTTGAAAAGAAAGAATTATAAATTAAATATATGAATTTTAATTTTCTAATTGATAGAGACAATTAATAATTGGTTTTAAAGTTTGACGTCCCCAGCGGAGTCGCCAAGCTGTCGTAACCAGTTTTCGTCCGGGCACGAAAAATTTAACTTGACGGGAAAAGTGATGTGAATAAATGGTTTTGAAAATAATTTGGGAGTCGCCATCGGCCTTTTGGGTCAGGTAGGTCGAATACCTAAAAATATCTTTTAAAAGAGTTTTAAGAAAACATCAATAAAAGATAAACTGATCTGCGTTTAACCAAAAATTCGTTCTTTTTAATAAAAAAGGGATTCGTGGTCGGTTACGTTTAGGGAAGGATTAGCACCCCTACAACGCCCAAAATTGGTACTTTTTAATTATAAATTGTCTCTATTATTAAAAATTCAAAATTCAAAATTCAAATATATTTAATTTAAATTTATTACTATAATTTAAGTAAATTTATTAATTTATATAAATAAAATATTTATTTATTAAGAAATATCAGAAAAGGACTTCTAGGTGCCTTAAGACAGCTCTTTTTTCGATATTAAAAATAAATAAATATAAAAACATTTTTCTAAAAATAATAATAAAAAATAGATTAATAATTATAAAAGTAAGATGTTTATTTATTTAAAATATCAGAAAATTGACATCGAGTTGCTTTAAGACTGCCCTTTCTTAATATTTAAAAATAAGTAAACATTGTTATCTAATCGAATTAAAATTTATAATATTGGCATTTCATATAAATATTAGTGAATAAAAATATAAATAATAAATATATGAATAAATAAATAAATAAATAAATACTATACTAATTTAAACATATAAATGATAAAAATATATAAAAAATGACCAAAAGAAAATGATATCTAAATTAATGAACCTAACTCGAAATATAAAAATATATTTAATAATAGTGTAAATATCCCTTTATTAATCGGTGATTAGAATAATAATTATTAAAACTACCATGGTTAAATAAGTTATTTTACCTTAAAATATATATAAGCATATCATGTACTAAATTATAAAGTAAATAAAATTATAAGACCGAATTAGAAGTTTAGGATTTGATTTCAATGACCAAATTGTAAATTTACAGAACTCAAGAGGACTACGTAAATGGTTTACCTAAATTAGAAATTACACAAACATCCCTCACCAAAACTACGTAGTTTTGGTGAGGGTTTAAATACCCTTTAATTGTCCCAAATGATTCATTTTCCCTCATTTTTCATTTTTTCACTCTCTCTTAAAGAGAGATGACAATTCTCTCTAACTTCTCTCTAGTCCTCTCTCACCGGAGGTGATCCGGTCATCGGTTGGTCGACTTGCTCCGACGCCGGCAGCCCCCGCCGGCCACCACCTGCGGTGGTCGGATTTTTTTTTTTTTTTTTACACTAAAATTTCTTTTTATTTTTCCTAAACCCGAATCTGAGATTATTTTAACCTAAAGAGCATTTAATCTTAATATATCTACAATAATACCTTCGAACTCCGGTGGTTTCCGGCGACGTTCGGGTTCCCTGCTCCGATAAGTTTCTTCACGATCTTCTCTTTCTGTTTTGGTGCTTGTTTGTTGGGTATTTTCTCTAGCTTCATTCTCTTGCTCTCTCTATCGATTCCCCTCCTCTTTTGCAGGCTCGGTGGTGGCTTTTATAGCCACCACAAAGCTTTCCATGGACCGGGTAATAAGGGGGAGTTCGGTGAGTCACCAAACTATGGTGGTGACTCACCTATAGCTTCAACGTGGAGGGGCAGCTGTCGCTGGAAGCTGCTGGAAATGATGCGTGGAGGGGCTACTGGATGGAGGAGGCTGCTCGGGTAAAAATTTAGTGTCTACAGATCTGTCACATTCGCAAGGTTTGCCGAGAAGCATCGCAGACTTCTGAATGCTTTTGTTAGGCAAAATCCTGGCTTGCTAGAAAAACCGTTGTCTATGCTGCTGAAAGCTCCAAGGCTGATTGACTTCAATAACAAGAGAGCATATTTCCATTCAAGAATAAAACAACAGCATGAACAGCACCTTGCTGGTCCACTGCAGATAAGTGTGCGGCGGGCATATGTGTTGGAGGACTCCTACAATCAGTTACGAATACGACCTACTCAGGATCTGAAGGGTCGTTTGAACGTGCAGTTTCAAGGGGAAGAGGGTATTGATGCTGGTGGACTGACAAGAGAATGGTATCAGTTACTGTCAAGGGTCGTATTTGACAGAGGAGCATTACTTTTTACTACTGTAGGGAGCAATGCAACTTTCCAGCCAAATCCTAATTCTGTTTACCAGACTGAGCATCTTTCTTACTTCAAATTTGTGGGCCGTGTGGTAAGTCACTGGGTTATTTGGTTCTGATATGGGTGTTTATTGTGATTTGCGTTAGTTTATTCTTATTCTCTTCTGTGATATATGCAGGTTGCAAAGGCACTATTTGATGGTCAACTTTTGGATGTTTATTTTACTCGGTCCTTCTACAAGCACATCCTTGGTGTTAAGGTGACTTACCATAATATAGAGGCAGTTGATCCTGATTATTACAAGAATCTGAAGTGGATGCTGGAGGTTGGTTTTTAATTAATCAGCCCTGGTTATTTTGATCGACTTCTCATGTAATTAGAGCCAAGGAGTCCATTTGAAGTACTAATTTCTCATCGTTTCTTAATGGTCTTATCTACAAATTTATTTCAGAATGATGTGAGCGGCGTTCCTGATCTGACTTTCAGCATGGATGCTGATGAAGAAAAGAACATACTTTATGAAAAAACTGAGGTATGCAAAGATTGAATGAAGGGTTGTTTTCCCCAGATTTTCACTTGAGTATCTTCTAAATTGTTATGTTTTGCTTGGAAAAAGGTTACCGATTATGAGCTTAAACCGGGAGGAGGAAATATCAGAGTTACTGAGGAAACAAAACACGAGTATGTAGACCTTGTTGCTGATCATATCTTGACGAACGCTATACGTCCTCAAATCAATTCCTTTCTGGCGGGATTTAATGAATTGGTGCCACGTGAACTTATTTCAATTTTTAATGATAAAGAGCTTGAGTTACTAATTAGTGGACTTCCTGAAATCAATTGTAAGCTTACCAGCCTATGCTTTTATGCTTCTCATTGAGTTTGACTGGTCGATTTAGCATCTAACAATGCGGTCATGTTGCAGTGTATGATATAAAGGTCAACACTGAGTATACTGGCTACACAGCTGCATCTCCTGTTGTTCAAAGGTTTTGGGAAGTTGTTAAAGCTTTCAGCAAAGAAGACATGGCAAGATTGCTTCAGTTTGTCACCGGGACATCAAAGGTGATTTTATGGATTTATATTGACCTGTTTAGGTTCCCTTTTGGTTGGCATCCATATCGATTGTTTTGGGTGTGTACAGGTGCCATTGGAGGGTTTTAAGGCATTGCAGGGCATCTCTGGTCCACAAAATTTCAGATTCACAAGGCTTTTGGAGCTCCTGAGCGTCTGCCTTCTGCACATACATGGTGATGAATACATTCTTACTGCCATAATGAATTCCTTCCTCATTTATAATCTATTTGTTCTTAACATGTATTCTCATTTTGACTCGCATCTGCAGCTTTAATCAGCTAGATCTCCCTGAGTATGCCTCGAAGGAAAATCTCAGGAACGATTGTTGCTTGCTATCCATGAAGCTAGCGAAGGGTTTGGCTTTGGTTGAACAGAGTTTGTATTAATGAATGATATTGATGTCCCAGCATCGTCGCCAATCCATCTACCGATCTAACATTGAGTACGTCAGTAGAAGATTCTTAGTCAAATCCACTTTTCCCACATTGCATTATATCAATTGTGAATCTGACTGGACTATTCTGATACACGTTTGTGTTTTCCATGTGCAGAAGCCTCTTCTGATGGATTGGGCTACTGGAAATTGGGATTTTCGGCCGGTTGGAGGGGGATGAATGGGTGGTTGTGGCTTTAAATTTGATTAGTGGAGAGCTTCTATTATAAACAAACGAGGAGGGAAATCAAAATTCTATTTTTGAATGATGGTTCTTCCTTGCATTATTTCTGTATATATTTTTCTTTTATCTAATTCTTGAAATGGCTCTGCATTTTATCCTTTTGGGTCAGTCCTCAGTGTTCATATCTTAATAATTAGTGTTCGGTTATTTGAATTAACTTTCATGTTTTATTTTGGGTATTTTATTTCAACAAAATAATTATAATAAATAGTTAGGTGATTACAACAAATATTTGGGAATAAGTGGATGCTAAATGAATAATTTATTCTTAAGTTTATTTGTTAATTTACTATGTGCTTCAACCCTTTGCTGCCTTTTGCCCTTTCTTTGAAACCTTCAGTTTATATTATAAGCAATCAATGCATGGCCTTGCTTACAATCTTATTTGCTATATAATCACTCGGTGATTCATCAGAGACCGGGTTCTAAACAAATGTTGGAATAATTAATGATGGGACAACCTTATTTGCTATATATATATATATATAAATAGTCAACTAAATTAGATTATTGTCCAATTCCAAGAAAACAAATGTTGGAATAATTAATGATGGGACAACCAATATGTAAGGACTTATATAATATGTGAACGCGTTGCAGAAGCTGGACGTGAAGGCAAAAATTTCTCCAGTAAATTATCTTACGTTTTCGGTTATACCCAATACCTATGTTTTTCCCTAGTCAATGATGGAACCACCTTACCTAATCATTCTTTTCCTTAATTATTACACGGAAAAATGATTGTATAAATAACTATTTTTATATAGAAAAATATTTAATTTTCAAGAAAATATACCAAAAATGATGATGATGGTATTATTAGTACAGAAGTACGTGCAGCTGCAAACACAAAAAAGAAATAAGCTTCCGTCCTTGTCAGTCCTCCAACCTTCATCTGGTCTGAGAACCATAAACTTGATGAAACCTTGAATCACATACACACACATATAGAGGACATATTTTGTTTTATATATACATACACATATATGGAGAATTACCTGTTTTCCTGCAAGAAAAGGCAGCCATTATGTCCCCAATCCCCATACAAAACGAAAACCTTTGATGTTGAATTTGTTGGAAGAAATAGCTAGTTCATGAGAGAAGGGCAAGGCAAAGACAAGTTAAAGAAAAAGTGTTTGGCTTAGATAAATGGGTTTGGAATTTCAACTCTTTCTTTAACTTGCCCTAGCCTTCCCTTTCTCTGAAACCTTCTATTTGCACATGAACTAGTTTACATGAGAGAATGGCAAGACAAGTTAAAGAAAAAGTATGGGTTTGAAATCTCAACTCTTTCTTTAACTTGCCCTAGCCTTTCCCTGCAACTGCGAGCCAATGAAGAAACTTAATTGAGAAAATATTTCAGAGGGAAGGGCAAAGACAAGTTAAGGGGAAAACAAAAAGGTTGCCTTGTTCTCCCCTTTCAATAGGATAAAGCTTCAACTTTTGCCTTAACTTGTCATTGCCTTCCTCTCAAACCCGTCTGCTTGATTATTGTATATATATATATCATTGGACTTGCTACACTAGGCAAAACCTCTACCTTTTGTTGTATGCTCTTTACTTCCTGTGCCATGTTATTTATAGTAATACGTGATTTGGGAGGAACAGACTTTTACACAAATCAAAGGAAATTTACCCTATAGTTTCCAGGAAGGAAATATTAGAACTAGAAGCTTTGAAATTCTAAAAAAATGTTAAAATATGTATAAGAAACCTGTGGGAAACAATGATGAAGCTTCATCTGTTACAATCAAAGGCAAGAGATAACTAGTCACAAGTTATCATCCCTTTTAGAGAATTTACAATGTTTGTCCTTTTTAAAATTATGGAAGATGATCATATAAGAGTGGTTGTTTGAACAAACTAATTAAATTTTAATGACATTTTTTAAACAAAATGCAAATTTCAATTGCACATTTTCATGAAAATGTAAACAAGTTGCATTAAATATTCTGAGAAGATACATAGTAACCGCAGGGTCAATGTGTGAGTAAATTATAATTGTTTAATGATCTTTCCTTCCTTTTAATTTCGTTTTTCTTTGGGTTTTGTTTCCTTCCTTCCTCAACTTTTTCTATAAAATATGTGAATTATTTATTTATATTTTCTGATTGTTATAAATTTAAAAAATAAATAAATATCTCGAATTTTTAATCTATTGTTGTGTTGTTTAAATTAATCATCAGTCTTCATTCATCAACGTTGTTAATGTTCTGTAAGGTTTTCATTGTGTACAGTGGCGGATCCGTCCTTAATCTAGAGTGGATACCTATTTCTCTTAAAATCTAAATTTTCTTCAATTAGTTATTTATTTTGTTGATTGTATTTATCTTGTAATTTTATTTGTATCCACTCCATACGAAAATTTTATGTTATCAATACATGTGTGTCCATCATCAAAAATGTTTTTGGATCCGTCATTGGATGTGTACGAAGAAACTCCATTACTTTTTTTTATATTAGTAATTTGTATAGTAAGAACGTATGTATGAAAGTCTATTATTTTTATAGTAAGAACGTATGTAAAACAAATCATAGATTTGTAAAGTAGATATACAAAATAAAGATTGTTAGTAGTTAAATCATTTGCTAATGTTGATCAGATTGACATGAATAGTGAATGAGCGTTTGAAAATAAACAAGTCCATCCATATGTTGAATAATGTTCATGCACATAATCTGCTGAATCATAAGTGGAGGTTATGTCATTATCGTAAGTTTCATAGTACATTCACATGATATATGAACAAGTCAAAATTTTCAATTACGATCTAACAGTTTACACTCTTGCTGATCATCATTGATTAGATGCACTGCTGTAGAAAAATCACTTGCAATTATTTTAAAATTCGAATTTTTTACATTAATTGTTTATTTAGCTGTATACTTCGATTTTGCGGTTTTTGTTGATGACTCCGCCTACCTAGTTTCCACGCTTTCCTGAAGTAACAATGAGAATACGAAGAAATCTGGCATCGAACATGTATGTTTGCCATGCATGCTACAAAAACTTCAATACCAATATATCTCTTCCTCCTTATCCCCATCTGATCTGAAAACCAAAAAGCCTGACGCCATCCTTGAAGAAATCTTTGATCACATATACATACGACACATAAATATAGATGACGTATCTGGCTTTCATACATATACCTACACTACACATACGTGGAGAATTGTCTATTTTACTTGATGCAACCTTGATGAAATCTTTAACTTGCCCTACCTTTTCCCTCAAGCTATGAACTTGCTGCAAGTTCAAGTTTATCAAACTTGAAAGAAAATTGATGGAGAAAGTATATCAGAGGAAGGGCAACGACAAGTTAAAGTAAAAAAGTTGTATAGGATAGAGCTTCAACTTTTGCTTTAACATTGTCATTGCCCTTTCTCTGAAACCTTCTTCTTAATTATTGATATGTATCACTTGATGTTGCATATTAAGCAAAAGCTACCTTTTGCCATATATTTATAGTAATAAGCGACTTGGGAGGAACCAAGTTTTACACAAATAAAAGGAAATTTACCCTGTAGTTTCCAGGAAAGGAAATATTAGAACTAGAAGCTTTGAAAAAGATTTACTTTTACAAATTAAAAAAAGAGAAAATCGCCTCAGTGACAAAAAATGCCTTATAATATACGATTTTAACCAACTTTTTCCGGAATTGCCAAAATGACCAACAAAATCGCAATGTGATCGCTAATTCGCAACGCGATCTCCATTATCGCAAATTCGCGTTGCATTTTGCGTTGCGATAGTTGGAAATCGCGTTGCGATGGTCTACAGTGTCGTTGCGATTTTCCCAATTCGCAATGCGAATAAGTAAATCGCAACGCGAATTGGGAAAATCGCAATGCGATACTGACTATCGCAATGCGATACTGACTATCGCAATGCGATAATACAAAATCGCAACGAGATACTGACTTTCGCAACGCGATTCTGACTTTCGCAACGCGATTTACATAGCGCCATTCGTATTAACGCGTATTTTTTTTTTCAAATTCCAAACACGAATTTTTTCTTAATAAATCGGAAACTGAACCGTCCACAGTAATCGCAACTCATAACCTCAAACCCAAAATCACAACACTCAGTCCCATCTCCATCTCTCACTCTCTACGGCGAAATCCGTCCTCATCT